CCCCCCAACGGACAAACTACAACCACCAAAACATTTTTGATATGGCCAATGACAGTGTTAAGCCTTTATGAACCAGAAAATCATGGTAGGCCTTCACCTAAATCAGTTGTCAGACTAGTTTGCAGGTAGGTAGATCCTCTACTAAAACATTGCTGCCGACCTTAAGCTTAACTACTGGTGTCAGGCTTTTGTATGTCGAGGTTTAAAATTATATAAAGTGGGGACGGATTTATAACTCTGATCAATTTGACCCAAGTATGTGCTTGTCTTAGACCAAATGTTTTAAATGTAATTTTGAGAATTCAATAAAATTTTGCTTTGTGGATGGCTGAGATAGCATGCTGAACTTGTGTTATTGTCTCTGTTGAGGGTATTTCAGGACATGTTAATGACTTGGCAGATATCGCGACCTCAGTGCTTTCTTGTCTTATCTTTATTTTTAATAGCAAGTGGCTATTCTCTGGCGCCTCACTGGTCAATTGATCGAGGGCTATTCTCCGGCGTCAAGTATTCTTGTACCTGTCACTTTTCAACAGCTTTCCATCTCCCCTGTCGGCACGTTATGACCATTAATGTTGCAACTGAGTTCAGTGCCAGATGCGCCTTCTAGTACTTCTGGTTGTGACTGAGGCTTGTTGGCACTTCTGGTGCTGTCACCTCTGACACAGAGAATTCCTCCTTCCCTCACTGGAGCTTTCATTGAGTAGTGGCTGCGTGTCCACCTATGGTGAATCGCATTCTGAAGAAGTGCCGACCCTGATGTGTGTTTGTGTACAAGGCCATAACGTGCCGACAGGGAAGATGGAAACCTGTGGAGAAGCGACATGATATGCGGCTATACTTGACGCCGGAGACTAGCCATCGATCTATTAACTGGCGCGATGCCGGGGAATAGCCATTTGCTTTTTAATAACAGTGAAAACAGTTCATATCAAAGACTGAGCTTTAGAAGAAGTCATATTTACACTGTTAAAGAAAATGGAGATACGACAAGAATTAGAAAGCACTGAGGTCGCGATATGCTGCCCCCCTCCAACCACTGACACGACACTCAAACACACCCCCATCCCCCATATATTTTCTTTGTGACTAAATGCAAATAATTATGACTGAATTGATTGTTTTGACAGGTCTGTTGTGGTTGGGCCGTTCCTCCAGTCCCTGAATGAGGTCCTCAAGTCTCTTGCAGAAAAACTTGGAAGTGATAGCGAGGACTCCAAGGTACTGCAGGGTTGTGCCGCTGAAAGTTTTCGATGTCTACGCCAAGCCTGTGCCCTCAACTCTGATGTCCAGAGTGGCCTTTCATCTTGTCCAGACTTGTTAGAGAATACAAAGCTCATCATTGAGAAAGTGCATTCGCTCGATTCAAAGTCGGACTCGGAAAATGTTTTAAAATGCAGTGCTCAATTTTTGGGGAACACTTGTGCTTCCAATACAGAAAATCAGAAGTTGATCTGGGATATGTTCATTCAACAACTCAGGTATGGTTATCATTCATTTTATAGATGAGTTTTAAGTCTTTGTCTCTGAGGGGAGAAAACCCAGGGGCCCTCTTTTGGTATGAAAAATAAAAGTAAGATACACATCTCTAAATTTGTCATTAAATCAAAACAGGTGAACCTATTTTGATAGTTCTTCATCTACTAACCTGTTTTTCGGCTGTTACTGAAAAGTAATTTGATGTCAAAGCGGTATAGGAATGCGCCCAAGCCACTGCCAGCGGCTCACTGGCTTAGAGTGGTTTTCATTACCGAGTTGAGGTGAAGCGCGAGCTACTGGGAGCGGCTCGCCGGAGATAAGGAGTTTGAAGGAGTGCTTAGTTTGAGGATCCTTAAAAATTTATGATAAAAGGCAAAAGTCTATATTATCCATCCTGGTTTAAAGTTTGGCCAGATTTTTTCAACAGAAGTCAAAACATGGTTACTTGTTCACTTGTGACATTCTATACTTCCAGTGCAGTTGTAATCATGTTCTTGTGTATGATTTTTAAACCATGCTTCAGCTTGTGTTAACTCTTAAGGGTTTATTTTCTTCAATTTTCTTTTGCTTTCTCTATTTTTTTGTGCTACTTTTATCAAAGTCACCCCCCGGGGCAGTGCAACTGACTGTAGTGTCTTTAGGCCATTCCCAAAGGAGGGACATTTCTCGTTCAAGCACAGTAGAATTGTAAATGGGCTGATTCAGCATGTCACGCTCATATCTGTGCCTGATCTACAACAGGGAACTGCTGCTTTTTCTTTCCTAATCCTTACTATTGACTATTGTCATTTTCCTCTACTTCTTTTGTATGTTTGTCACTCTCTTGTGACCTGCTATTTTTGGGGTGCCTTGATAGTCGAAGCAGACCTTGTGCTGTTGAAGCTAGAGAGGTGAGCAGTCCCTGTGCAGACTTCTCTGTTGACAACCACCCCTTGGCGCTCATATGACCTTATGCAGTTGCGAGCACCGTAAAACCCTCTACTATTAAAAAAAATAAATTTATCAATGTACCCTGCCAATGATAGATTTTTTCCCCCACTTCCATGTACATGTGAATGTGTACTGACTTGGACTCTCAGTGCTTATTACCATTACCCCAGGTCCTCCCTTGCATTCATCCTTGTTTAATTTATTTAATGACTCTTTCCGAGACGTTCTTGTCTAAGACAACTGCTTTTCTTCTCGACAATGGGTGGTCATCGTCGTCAGGTTCGACTGTGTTTTGCTTCATCGTTATCTTAACTTTCTATTTTGAAACAAGAGAAGTGTTATTTATAAATGTTCGTCAGATCAGATCAGTTTGTCACAGTCACCCCTTCGATTTCTTGGTAGTCCGACGTTTTCACACCTTTTTACAATCTTTCATTTTTTTATGTACTTTCTCAGACCCACCATTTAGGGTTCTTTCTGTATGTTACCCCCGCCTCCTCCCCCCTCCCTACATCAATCTGTGGGTGGTCCATGGGTGCTCTGGTGTAGTCTGCTCCTTTTTTCCTATCAAACATCTATAGTCTTTATCTCTCTTTCTTTTCATTTTGATGTTAATCTCTAGTGACACCTCTAAGCTGTGGCACATATTACCAATTTGTGCTGCAAGTGCCATAAAACTCAATGTAAAACTAAAACAAAAATCCACATCCACTCCACACACACACA